AGCCCACTTTTCCCCAGGAAGCTACAATTATCCCACAGCTTGTTTCAGATATACGCAGGAGTGGCACAGACTGCAGAAGCAGTAACCTCGCTCCATCATATACCACCACCTCTACAACATGTAGGGCTGTGCAAACAGGGGTGCAGCTGGACCTCTTCCCCCTCTGCCCGCTCATGGCACTTACCCTAAACATAAAATTGGGGTAACGATGGCCAATGCTGTAAATAAAGTAGGGTAACAACAATTTCAACTGAAACAGGACTGAGGTGTTTGCAATTATGCTGCCTATACCCTGGAATAGTGTGACATTTTTCTTTGTTCTGTTGACAAGCTCTAGCCTGGTATTTACTGACAGACATGGAGTTACAGGTGAATAAAACTGATGCAAATCCAACATAATGAAAAATTAGCTATTAGCATTCTACTCAGACTATTTACAATCTAATTGCTATTTATTACTGTGACTGGTGGTTTTTACATTGAGTCTTGTTAATTAATTGTTTTATATGCATCATTAACAAAACTTAGCTTTTCAAAATTAATTTAGGATTGTGCATTGCTCAAATTAATTATTCATTAAAGTATGTCAAGCACCTCAAACACCTCCTTTACATGCATTCCCTAAACACACACAAATCATGTTAGCATATAAAAGCAATATGCAAATACATGTAACATAATTAGCACTTTCATTGAAGTGTGGTTGTACTGCTCATACCTTACAACTGCAATTAAAAAAGTATAAAGTGCAATTAGAATCTGTCAGAACTAACAATACTATAAATCCTGAATTCTATGTTATTAATAAGATTTAAAACTACTAATACATTAACAACAGAATTGAAAATTCACAGGTTTTGAACCTCACTTGAGCCCAAGAATAAGCTGGGTTATTTTTGGTAGTTAATTTTTAATCAGCTCCATGTCTTCACAAATTAGGCCAATTATTTTCAGTTAGCAGAAGATATTATTTATGAAAATATTTATTACTATTAACATTTGTAAGGATCTATTTCTTCATGATAGGCCTAAATGAACCCAAAGAGTTTCCATGTATGCAAATTACTTATTATCTCCATGGTTACATGAGCTAATAGACTGACATTTTATATTAGGTATATGCATCAGAACATTAATCTACTATTGAACAAAGCAGCAAATCTGTGTCTTTACAACTAAACATACGCTGTTGTTGGATGCTGGCAGTACAATCTGTTGTCACACATGAGAAACACCAAGAAATTCAGGGAGATGTGAGAAGCACAGCAGAGTGATGGATACAACCGGCTGTGGGTGAAGAAGTCCGAGTTCCCTAAAGTGCTCTCTCCAAGTCTTGATTCTGAAACTGCAGCAATATAGCACATCACAGGCAATGGCTGCCCCCAATGCTACTAATCATCCCCCTCAATTTGAATTTAAAACTCTTCCACTGAACACTTTGTTGTGCACAACCTGCAGCTACGAAACTCATTTTCCTTCAAGTTACCGCTTGCCCATCTTCAGAAAAGCATCCACATTAAGGAAGAGCATGTAACTGTAACTACATGTTTCACACTGAGTATATGTTCACTTTCCCGGCTTGGAATGTCCAGGGCTGTTTATCATCACATGATTTCTCTAATAAAAATCATGACTTGCCCTTGCCATGTGGTTTCTTGGCATAGACACCAGACATTAACATGCCAGCACTTTCTCAATGAAGATTACTGCAATAACTGTTGTTAACTGGAATCTACGTGTGTTGCCTTTGCAGTTTCAGTCAGTGATTTAAAACTATTTGTTAAATTTCCAAGATGACATAAATATGAGCAAGGCCTAAAGGAATAACTACTGCCTCCCCATGGCAGTTAAATGTCAGGTTTTTGACAGTAACTAGATAACTGCTATATTCTCCAGAAACACCTTATGTGTTTCTGAAAATGCCCCTGTGTTCCTATTACTATGTCTAGGCTTCCTAATAGTCCTAATTCCCCCAGAAATGTATTTGAAAACAAATTTTACATACTTACTTGTGAAATAAAGGATTTTTATTTGACTTTTTCAAAAATTCCCCTGGCAGTTTAATATTAATTAAAATCTGTTGAGCCATATGGTGACTCTTCTTTCTCTTAACAAACATTAGGACTTTCATATTTTCTACCCTCATTTTTCCCGTTTCTGCCATAACAAACAACAAATCTCAGAGAACTCGTAGCACAGAGACATCAGTGATTCAAACACTAATGCAGCTACACAGACAGGCCGAAAGGGACCACAATAGAAAAATGTTTTTAAAGCATTTAGGCAAGTGAACCTTTGGTGATTAAATACACCCTGTAACAAAACAGACCTTAACATCCACAAATAGAGCAGAGTCACAGACAGTACGGGTCCTGGCACTCATCTTTTTCTAAGCTGTAAAGAACTTCCCTCTATATTTATATTTATGTTACAAAATTGCACATTAATGCTTTTTGTCCCATCCACCATCACATTTCTTAAATTGTACTCCAACTGAGCAATAAATATCATGCATCGATTCCAGATTAGAACTAGCTGGAGAGATAAATGATCTCACAGAAGCTTCTTCTAGTAAAGAGCTAGAGCAAAGAGAGAGCTTATACTTGTGAAAGCACAGCACTGTGCGTGCATGTGAGTGTAGCCTGCACTGGAATACATTTAAAGAACAGCTTCTGAAGAAAAAAACACTACATCCATCTATCTATGCATACATTTCCATGTCTCCACTGCACAACTGCTGCTCTGCCAGCCGCCTTACTGACCTGTGCCAAGTGATTTAGCCCTCTGCTAAGGAAAAAGGTAAAAGCTAGATCTACCTGGCTTTACTGGATCAGCCAGACCCTGCCAAACTGTGTCATCAGCATGTCAGTGCATCAACAAATTGTGAGATGAATGCACTTGCTTCTGATGCATTAGGAAAAATGGCCAATCTGACACACTCTATACTATAAAATCTCATCTCTAGCATTTGGATCTTGCCAAGTTCTATCAATGTTTGTCCCCCACCCACAAATAACGTTGCATGAATTCATTCCTGAATTAATAATTATTTTACTATAAGTGTACTTTTTCCTACACTGTAGGAAAAAATTGAATCACGATGCATATAGTTCAGTTCAGAAAAAATAGATAACTGCTACGTAGTGGTGTTGACAAATGTATCCCAGCTTCCCCCTCAGAAAAACAAAAGTGCCCTGTACTTAAAAAAACAACAAAAAAAGAAATTGTCAGATGCCTTGAAAACACTCAGCTAGTGTAAAAAACTTGCCCACTGACCCAGGAAAGGATAATCTGGACCTACTGTATTCAGAGTGAAAAAGTGTACCTTCAAGATTACTTAAAGCTTAAGAGCCTAATACATCTCTGCTCAACAAACAGCAAAGGCACCGAGGCTCGAAGTTTAACTAGGACTTACTTTTTCTCATCTAGACCAAGACTTCCTTCTAAATTGAGCACTAAGCAAGCCAAATACTTACAGCTCAAAAATCTCTGCTCCGTATTTTATATCTTAAGTGAAACCACAATAATACAAATCTGGTATTTTCATCTGTGTAAGTTCAGCCACCTTTTGTATTACACACTGAAGTTTTACAGTAAGATATGTCTAAAACATGTACAGACAATCCCAAAGAAGTATTTTAAGCTAGTCAGCTCTTAATTGTGGTTTTCAAAGCAGCTTAAGGGATTTAGACAAAACATATTCATTTCTTATTTCCTTTTATCACCAACACAAGGCTAAACTAGGCTGTTCTGAGAATCTCAGTGAGCTGGATGCATATTCATTGGATGCAAGAGAACTGTCATTCTTGCTTTATAAAAAATAAAACTCTCAAGCTTAAGCAAAAAAATTGGCTATATTCTGCTTGTACCATCACTGACAACTTTACAAACTTGTGTTCTGCAAAACCCCATTTTTTAAATCTGAATAGAACACTTCAGAAAAGCGTTATTTAGCTGAAACAAGAGCTGTGATGACACACATGCTGGTTTCAGGAATAAGAGATCTATTTTGTATTGCTCTAGTATTGGGACGTGCTTAAGGTTGGATTGTTCTGGTCAATCAAAAGCATCATAAAGCTTTCTGTAGTTTCATAGTAAGACTTGCAAGCTCAGAGCCAAAAAAATTGTACCATCTAGCAAGTTCCAGACACTGGTTGTTTTCTGTACTACTGAATATAGATAAACTAGGTGGGACAGGAATTTGCAATGAAACTGAAGCAGCTGCTGGTTTTAGCAGATGGTAAGTTTAAGGTTTCAGATGGGGAAAGGAGAAAAACTGGATCCAAGATGATGCAGGTGTTGGTTTCAGGATTTAGCCAGGCCTGCTGTGCCAGTTTACAATGTCAGAATTTTGCACATATAGGCTATTATCAGAATGGTTCCTACGTGACATCATCTTTGCTAAGCGTTGAAAAACATGATGAGGCATATTACTAAAATTCCATTTAATTATGTCTGTAACCTCAACATCCCTCCCGTTCTGCAATGCCAAACTTTTCCAGTGCTGCAGGGAGCAGCCAGCAGCCCTCTTCCAGCTGCAGCAGCGATGGGGAAGGGCTGGGAGCAGTGCGCAGCTGGCACCAGGTTTGGGCACAACCATTGCCTGGGACGCACCCGCCCCCCGACCCCTCTCTTTTCACGCGAGGAGGCAAAACTCCAGGAGGCCTCGGGTGCCCGAGCCAGGTTTTGCTGTGCCCTGGCTCTGGGACACTCAGGTTTTCCTGGTCTTCTGACTGCTATTTATTTATTCATTCGTTTTAAATTGCTGCAGCGGAAGCCGCCGGCCCGTGGCGGGCTGGCTGAGCCGGGGGACCGCGGCTCCCTCGGGACCCCGGCAGGGCTCCGCCCGGTGGCCGCGGGGCTCCGCGCGTTCCCTGGATACTGCGCGCTCCCTCTGCGGAGGGAGGGAGGGAGGAAGGGAAGGAGGAGAGAAGAAAAGAGGGAGGAGAGAAAGGAGGGGGAAGGGAAGGAGGAGAGAGGAAACGGAGAGAGGGAGGGAGACTGAGGCTGTCTCCGGGAGGCGGGGGGGGAGCCGCGGGCCAGGGCCAGCAGGCCGGTCCGGCTGGCAGCGGGACAAGGTGAGGCCCGCCAGCGGGCGGCCCCGCTCCGCTCCGCCCCGCGGCGCTCCCCACCCGGCAGCCCCGCCGCCGCCGCCGCCCGGCTCCGGCCCGCCTCCCCCCAGCACCCCGCGAGGAACAGCTCCTTTGCAGTTTGCAGCACCGCATTAAACAGGGAGAGCGAGGGAGAGAGGAGGGAGGGAAGCAGCCCGCAGCGCTGGGTTACGGAAAGCGGTAAAGGCGCTTCCAGGACAAACTGAATCGTTTGCAAAAAATAGCTCCTTCAGCAGGGTTAGGCGCTTTTTTGGTTTTGTTTTTTTTTCTTTCTTTCCTTTAGTCTAGCAAACAGAAGTGCCCCTACCCCAGCGTACAGCCAACCTGTCGGCCTGAGGGGCACCTCAACCAGCCGAAGCAGAATGTACCAGGGACACATGCAGGTAAGAGGCTGCAAGAGGGTGGAGAGGTGAAGCCCGCTGAAACGCGATTCTATGAAGTTTCTGTGGGTTGAGCGGAGGGGAGATGTCACCCCGGCACTGTGCAACAAGTGAGCTGGTGCAGTACGAACATGGCACTCCAACTCAGGGCAGAAGGGAAGAGCGTGCCTAGGGCTAGCTCTGCTCAAGGGGGCGGAGGGAAAAGGGGTTCTATCAACTTTGTAACTGGTAAAGTTTTGTGTATATTTATACGTTTGTTATGCCTGCTTGTTCAAACAGATTCAAGGGAGCATTCCAGGGCAAACAGTGTTATGGCATGCTTTAAGTGACATATGTCTCCTGCCATCCTCTTGATGCATCTCTTCCTGTATGTCAAGTGAAGGGCAAACAATAAGAGATAAAACAGAGCACTTGCTTTGCAAAATCTGCAAAGATTTCATGACACACTAAAGCCATTGATTTGCACAGTGTGGCGTGTTTAAAGGTGATGGATTTCTGTTCTTCCCTCCCAACATGGGCTGAGGATCGATTTTGCTGAAACCTGGAATGACTTTGTAGAATTAATTAAAACACATTTCTGACTGAGTTCAACATTTTAGACCAAAATCTTGTCTCATTATCCTACTGATCCGTATTACTGTAACAGAAAATGCCTCTCCCCAATAAAAACATAGTAGTGGCTTGGACGTGATGACTTTAACCTTGACTCCCACTCTCCTTCACATAGCTCTTCCTTGGAAAGCCAAGTCTGTTTTGAAGGGGGAGGAAATGCCAAACTGAAATAAAGGCTTATACTAATCTCCCAAATTCATTTCTCGGCTCTCGAACCCAGTCTGGCTTTGTGTTCGTTGCCAGGAATGATCAAATGCTTTTATCACGTACAGTGGCAGCCTCACATGTAGTGTTCTTAGTACTAAGGTTGCTTACAGAGAACCTGCAGGTTTAGTAAGTGTAAGCTGACCATTGGTGTGACTCTGCCCAGTATTTCAATATCTGCTGAATGGTCATCAGGGACATTAAACTTAAGTCAATGTCAAACACAGGGTTGTGTACAATATGTGAGTTAAGTGGGGACTCTGATTCAGCACTCTGCTTTCTAGAACTGAGTGACATGAGTTACTCTTTCATGTTTGTGTTACCTGATCTCAACAATGATAAACAACATGTCATAATACTGCTTGTGGTAGGAAAGCAAACAGGTTTTAACAAGAAATGTAATCAATGGAAGGAGAATATGTATGGCTATATAGTTCTAATGATAAGGTTCAAGTATGCATTGTTTATATGGTAACAGAAACAATCCTATAACTAATGATACTGACTTGGACATTGCAAATAGGTATTTATATTTATAAGAAAACAGAAGTTCTTTGCTATGAGTTATATATTGCAAGGTTGCAACAAACACACAACACTTTTTAGAAGGAATTGTAATTTAATATTGAGCTGTTTGGCATCACCCTAAATTTTCTGAGCCATTAAAAGGTTGAAATCAAATTTGCAATAGGAAAATCAGGTCAAAACATACAAACATTTTGTGATTGATGTCCTTTAATTCTTTCAAAACATTTTTTATTTTTCTAGCCCAAATGTCATCAAATTCTAACCAAATTCTCTTTATAAATTTGCTGAATTAAAGATGCTATACATATTGAGTACACTTCTTAAAAAAAAAAAACAAACCCACCTGAGTTCATCAACCAAATTTTTTAATATACTTCTGTCCTAACAGGAAGCATTAATGTTCTTCAGCTAATACTTAAAAATAACTAAAGCATTAAGAAAGATTTTCATGTTTACTAGAGCCTTAACTAGAGCCTTTAAGTGAGTGGAACAAAACCAATACAGAGCTGATTTCTTTGCAGTGAAATAATCCACTGTAATGTTTACTAAATCATGTTAGAACACAAACTATTGAAGTTACCATAAAAGTACAGTATCAAACCACACACTAACAAAAATGTAGTCACATTTAAGCATTATGGGTCCTTTCTTACTATCTCCAAGAGTTCTGGTAAGACATGTATTAACTTGGGGGAAATTGTTTGCAATTAGCTGCCAATATAAAATAAGGTGAACCATAAAACCATCCAAACTTGGGTGGATTAAGTCAGGCACCTAAGTAAGTACCTGGAGTCCCAAACAAAAATAATCTTGTTTTTAAAGAAACTGAGCACTCACAGAGCTCCCACTTCCTTAAGTGAAACTAGAATGTTTAGCTGGGCCCTATCTGGCTACTTAAGCATCTACCTTCATACATTCAAATGTCAAATGATGTTCCAGTAGATAATGCCTGACCCTACACTCTTTAAAGCAAAAGCTCTGATGGTTATAGTGATCAAATGTAGAATATGATTTAGAATTCCAGCTGTCATCTCCCTTTTTCCTACTGCTTTGTTCTCAGACATAAAAGTAAAATATGCACAAATAGTTCCTTAGTCAGATTACTTTAAAAGATGTTTACAGAGCCCATGTTTTACTAAGACCCTGCTGTAACTCAGGTAATTCTTGGAAGACTTTTGTAAGGTGAGAACATTAACAACTGTAACTACATAATAAGCATAACTATAGAGACTATAGAGAATTTACCTATCTTGAATAGGCATCAAGCATTACTAGCTTCAGTGGGGAATTCCTGACTAAGCTCAATAAACTCTGCACGTGTAGATGAAATTTTGCATTTAAGCACCGCTGAAGTCCAGCACCTAAAGTACTTTACTATGTCAGGCTTTAGTACCTACATCAGTATGTGCATCTCTTCTTGATTTTTAGGTTGTAGCACAGATTAGTTTTGATTATTTTTCTTAGTCCTAGAAAATCACTTAGTTTATTCAAAAGACCTAAGTTGTGATTTCCCTCTTGCTGTTTTATAAATGAATCCTTACAACATAGAAACACTAGAGAGGTCCCTAAGCTAAAATTCCAAAGACAGTTTCAAAAAAACAAAAAAAAAAAAGGAAAAAAAGAAAAGAAAGAAGTTACTGGTTCAAACCACTGTCTTACTGCCTTTACATTTCCACGCACCTTTCTACAGAGCTAGCATTTGTATTATTTATGCACAGCATGCTTTCACATAAAATACTAGGAAAAAGGTGAAGTGGCCTTCCAAAGAGCCAGGAATAGGATGCATGAAAGCACAGTGCCATAGGAGCCCTTTTAAAGCTATTTCACTATCATAATAAGCATAAGCATTTGATTTAACTGTATTTACTAACCAGGTCGGTTGACACAGTAACTGTTTAAAACGTAGCAGGGACTGGCATCGGTTTCAAGGCGCATAGCCACTTCCTGAAGCCTGTGCCTTTAAGGTGAGGCTTCTGCATGAGAAAGAACTTCAGATGAGATATGCAGACTATTTGCCTACAAATGTACAACTTCAGTTATGTAAGAAGTCCTGTTTAATTCAGTAAACTCAGGCTACAACAGGATAAAACCTGATGGATAGAGGAGCACACCCTAGGATTACCCAGATATGGCAAAAAACCTGAGCGTAAATCAGTGTAAATAGGACAGTGTGTGCAATCCAATGTGTGCTGGTTTCCATCTTCTTCAAGGGAACAGTAGCAGACCAGATGGAAGCAGAATATAAGAAGAGTTCATCCCACAGTCACTGTTCTAAAATGTCTATAATTTTAACAACCAACAATAAGATGGTTTCATTTGTTTACAGTATATTATATACCTGGTATACAATATACTTTTATGAGGGTTCTGTAAATGGATGGAAAGTAAATTAAAATCACAGAATGGGATTTTCAGCAGCATTTGGCTTACCAGGAAATTCAAAATAAATGCTTTCAAAACTGTTTGCCTTAATGCTGTATACAGTCAGTTTTCTGCAGCACCAATGCTTGAATAGAAGTGCTTCACCAAATGTTGTCATGGGATTTTACGTATGGCAGTGTTGTGTTTCAAGATGGCTTAATTTAGACAAAGCAGAAATGTTGACCACACATGGCTATCGGAGTTCCCCTGGCAGTTTCTCACAAGAACAGACTTGTTAATCATGATGTCTTGGCCAAGTTCCAGGTTGGGTAGTCTCCTAAACTTTTAATTGCATAGGCAATCAACATCATGCCCTTAATTGTTGTGCTGTGTTCTGTATTATTAAAGATAATTTAACATTCTGCTATTGGCATTTCATATTTACATGAAATGATCCATATTAATCATTCATATTTCAGTGAGATTTTGGTTAAACTCAAACCTACATGATTGTAGTGGGTCTAAAGAAAAATAACTGTACACATGAAAATTCTACAAGATGAAACCTCAAGGGCTTCACATGTTGTACTGGGCCTGAAAAGTGTTGCTAAATATTTTAGAGTTAGAAAAAAGCATTTTTGCATTGAATTCCCAACACTTAAAACACAGCTGACTCACTGGGAGAAGTGAAGCAAAACTGTCTCGAGATCAGCTGTAGATGCATGGCCCATCTTTGCATATTTTATAACCTATTAAAAATACTTTAATAGTGTTGGTTACCCTGCCACCTGAAATAAACAAACCTCAAGCTATTAATCAATTATAAATAAAAAGTAATCTCTCAACTATGCATTTTGACGTGAATATGCATTATACGTGGATAAAACAGATCACAAAGAACATGAACAACAAAACTTAATTCAATGCTAAACTGAATTTTTGCTCAGCTGTTAAGATCAACATAAACCTTGTAACTTTAAGCTACAAGATTCTAAAAATCTGGGCACATAGCTGGAATTCTAACTGATCCCCAGTGGTGTCGATGAATGATAACTGCTAGCTGAAATTCCATTACCATAAACTGGTTATTTTTTGTTATTATGAGCCTTTTCCAAAACTACTCACAATATGAGGACAGTGCTTACGGTGGCATGTTTTCCATTTTGTCTTGATATTTACCAGTTATTCACTAGTATTTTTTCAAGTTCTGAACAGTAGATTATGAACTACTTATAAATGAGCTAAGCTAAAAATAATCAGCTCACTTTCATTGAGAGAAGTTCATTCAAAGAAAGTAG